AGATTACAGAGGAACTCACGAGGCTTAGAAAATGAACAATTTCTTCATAAATGCCACTCAGGGTAAGAGAAACAATGGTGAACGTGACCAGATCTGAATGGCAGACTGCGTTCAGACTGTGTGGGCTGAATGAGCCCATGTCAATAGGCTCATTCAGCCCACATAAAAGAGCATATAGAGGCTGAATGTCCTCATTTAGTTACAGTACAGTGGCATACAGAAAAACTAAAACATTGGTGGCACAGCTATGCTGAGTGCTATAGGTACTGTAATCCCCATCCCCATCAGGAAACACATGACAGTGACTTTTCTTTGTTGGTCAAACGTTTAAAATGTCAAATTAATAGCAGTATAGATTTTGTATTAATCTTATAAATACTTGCGACTACATTAGTATCTTATTTGAGCCATGATGTCATTAATCTCTCTATGAAGTATGACCCCCCACTTTCTGTTTCAACTGCATTCTCAAAGGTTGGTTCGGACTAAAAATACAAAGATATTACTGTCACCCAATGGCAACATCTGTGTAACCTGACTCGGTTGATATCCCCTATGAGAGGTGCTCGCATGAGGGAGTTTTGGGAAGTGAGCTTGGTTCCTACAGGCTGTTTGGTTCAAATGAACAAGTTTTTGGGGATTACTGCATTAGAAACTCAAGTCCAAAAATGTCAGGAACCAATATAAAACCATTACAAAAAACAGTGCTCTGATCTGAAAATCTCTTAAACCAAAATGTTTCTCACAGTAGAGCCTAAAAAGCCATCAGATGCTGGAAAGGAAAGATTAAATGTTGATTTAAAAATATCAGCTCCTCTGGAACTTGGCAGCAACATGACTAACGGATTTTTTTAAAACGTACTTTACTTTCGAGTGACTCAGCCTCTTGATGGTGCTCTTTTATTTTTGCTGCTTTTATCCTAACTCATCCCTTAACACATTTTGAATGGCGTCCCATCTTCTTGAGGGTTGGGGTGTTGATGTAACGTATTGCAAAGTGTGTTTATGTTTATGTTTTATGCATTTAGCAGATGCTTTTATCAAAAGCGACAGGGGGGCACAGAGAGTGGAACTGGGGACCTGTTTAAATGGTTTGGCTGTTTCACTTGAAAACCTTTCCATTAATGAGCCATCAATCTGACTGAACCTGCATTTCAAGCATTACATTTTGAATAAACAAATGCCCCAAAAGGCCATTTTAGCATTTTAAGTAGATTACAATTCTCACAGCGTTTGCATATTATGATGAGCATTCATTCTTTAAAGTTTGACAGAGTAAATCAGTGGGAGATACCATCACGTGTCATGATTTTCTCTTTTCTGATGCTTCATATCCCTCTGCTAAAATGACAACAATGATCCTTGTCCCAAAATCTTGTCATAAGTCATTATGCATAATGATAAACGTTTGAAAAAAGAGAGCTTAGTGTACCCTGGCTGCTAAAAATTCATTAAAGAAAATTCGGCATCGTCGATTTTAGACAACTGACCACAGCTCGTTAACTGCCTGCCTTCCCATTGTTCTCTGCAGATTGCTTCATGATGTGCGCATGAATGCAAATTTCAAGTAAATATGCAAGGTGGACCTTCTGCACAGGCCCTGAAGAGCCCTCTGTTTGGTCTGCTGCTCCTGTTTGTTTTGCCATTACCCTTGGGAAAGGACTTGAGTACTCAAGTGGGTCAGCCTTTCAGTATAATCATCTTTAATCATGCAAACATTTGCTTTTGTCAAACAAAATGCACCTCTCTGTGTTGTCTCTTTTTTTTTCAACCAAACAGACAAAAACTCAGTATCATATAACCCAGATAGAAGATCATCAAAAATCATTTAAATAAAAACAGCACTAATAGAAGAAAGCGGCTAATTTCACCCTTAAAAGTGACAGAGGACCTCTGCTCACAACACACCACAACAAAAAGTTCAAAATAATTCAACTGAAACAAACTGGCTGCTTATCATGAGCACGTTTCCACGGCGTTATGAATCAAGCGTTCTTTTCACACTGAGAGACACAGTTTCACACAGTCGGGGGTCTTGTTTACTTGAGGCAATGACATTTTCAAATCAGCTGACCTGAGAATACCAATGACAATCAGGTCCTCCTCGGATCTCATAACAATGTCTATTCCGTCTCCAACTGTTTTTGAACAGGGCCGACACGCATTCTTTCACTTTTTTTCCATAGGACACTGCAACACAGAGCATCATTGTTCACGTTTCCTAAAGGTCATTCCACTGGGGCTGCTGGGAGAGCGTTCAGTTCATTTAGCAGCTCAGGGCTCTGTGTGCATGTCATGATTAGGAGTTTATAGGGGAAAGACATGAGCACATAGCAACAGTATGTCCGATGTGGCAAACAGACATCTAAGTCTTGTAAGTTCTTCAAGAAGAATTCGTCCTTAATAGAACCCAGTAAAGGGAAGTAAGTAAAATCACTGCAACCAGTCACAGAAATACACAGCAATAACCGTCCCGAAATACAAATAAATAAATAGAGGAACGCTAAAAAAGTCTGATTAAGTGGGATTATTATCCCATTAACAATTTGCAGAGACCAAAGAGGTCTGTCTGCGAATGTCAATGGGATGCATGCGGCGGAATGTATTACAGATCACCCACTGAGGTATCAGACTGACAGCAAAATGTCAGCTCTAATGCCATTCCAGGCCACTGCTAAACACAAGACTGTTGCCTTAACATAGAAAGCAGGTTCCTTTTTCTCCCTGTCTCCCCATCCTCAGTCAAGTCTTACTATGTGGATCAGGTGTACCAAAGGTAAAGACCACGAGCCCATGAACCTATTAGAATTCCTCACCACGAAAACATGGTGTATGTCATTTATTTAAAAGGTCTATTGTGAGGCCACAAAACTAAACAATCAGTGTTGTGCAATTCATCGGTTGTGCACGTGATCTCCAGTTGTTCTCTTTCAATATTATCAGATTATTGATATTATCTTACTGTTGGTTTACTGTTTGTGAACATGTTACATGGAATTTGTGAATCTCGCATACCACTTCTTCTTATTTTGTTTTTAACAGAGGGAGTGTTTGAAAAGGTCCATCTTCATTCCTCAGCTCTTGTTTTGAACAGTCTTTGCTTATTCATCCTCTATCAGGACTAGCTTTCACATAACATTTGGGCCTTGAGTGACTCTCCCTCATACTCATTGGCTGCCAGTCTGGCAGCACTGGAGCCCCCATTCCACCTCTGCTAAATAAAAAAAAACACAATGGCAAGGCACACCACTGAACAGTCTGGGAAAAGAGGCTACACAAACTTCCCCTCCAACAGCAACAGTAAAATGGATGTGTGTATGTCTCTGGACACATTGTCAGGACCACTTATTCAGTATCCAAAAGAAAAAGCACCCAGTTGTCAAAAATTGTTCAATGAGCAGAATGATATGATAGACTTGAACAGAAGTTCCTGGTTGTTTGAAACAAAAATAGAAACACAGAGAAATCTTCGAAGCCTGAAATGATCTGAAATGTTATATTTTAAGATTTGGACACAACGTACGCATCCCAAGGTGTGTATGTTTGAAATGATCATCTGGAGTGAAAGTATGGCAGTTGTTCAGCACAATGCCCCCACTTATATTTTAAAGACAAATTTCAAGAACCAAGACAAGAGGTGTCTTTGCAGAGGTTTTCCAATTGTGTTTAATCGGAATAAAAGGCCCTAAGCAGCTCTAGATAACAGGATATATTTTGGCTATTTGCTTGACTAATCAAGTTTCTATCAAAGGAATAAGTTTAACCTTACTTCAAATAAAGATCCTGTGTCAAGTGCTTCATATAGTACTTTGGGTCATTTTCTGTGAGTGCATATTAGCACTTTAGTAACAGTAATCAGTAATCGGTTATCTCGCTTATGTCTTGGACGGTAAAACTTGAGTAGCTGCAACAGTTGTATGTCACTCCCCAAGCTCAGGTTAATAAAGCTGCTCGTGTAAATTAATTAGGAGGTAGCTAAGTGCGAAAGCCAGCTCACAATGCATCATCAATCATCGCACGTCGTTAGCAGGTAAATTTCCATCCAATCAAATCCGGAGGATATAACAGATTCACACCTCTGGTTTTTGCATAAAAGTAGCTTACAACTTCCATATTCACAGTACAATGCAAGAGGGGGGGTTTGGTTGTTTTTATTGTGTATGAGAGACATTCTACTCATAATACTGCAAAGTGTGGACAAAAAAGCAGGGTGGATGAGGCTTGCATTCAAGGCTGGCCACCAGAAAAAGTTGGAAATAGAAAAGTATACGAAAACACTGAGACCACAGTGATCTGCCTGTGCCCAGCTGGAGCCGTTTCTTTTGTACGGTTACCTGCAGCAGTAATAGGGATCTGGTATGTCACAAACTCTAACCATTCTGTCCATTCTGATGCAGAGAGCTGAGTTCTAACACACGTTCCCTCGGCAAGATGTCACAAAACATCAGGGGGGGGGTGAAAATTGTCTTACAAATTGTTCAGCCTGTCTGTAAGTGTCTCTGCTTGCCGTTGATTTATGGCAGACTAGATTTTAGAAAACTACTCACACTGTCAGGCATGCGGTTGCACCTGTGAAGCTGTGAACTTTGAGGCTCAGTCTCCACTAATGTTTCAGCGTCCCACTACATGCCACCGCTCAGAGGGCTGCACGTCTATTCCTTTCCAAATAACGGATGAAATCCTGAATCAGAGACAGACACAACTGCAGGCTGCACACACAGGAAACAGGGAGGAAGTTTTTGTTTGTACATGATTAATTAGGATGTATCCTTCTATTTTCTCACATCACCCTGTTCATACTTCTGTATCCGACAGCCACTAAATGACACACGAGGTCTTGTTTTGATACGTGACAGATCCCCAGGACTAAAAACAGCACAAAACACTTAACCTGCACTGACTCCCAACCAGCTGCCACACGCAGACCCTCAGAAACTCACGCATAGATCACACATGAAAACACTGACAGAACTCATTTGGATTCGGTCATTCAGTCTTACCCTCCATAGGCTCCGAAAGTAAAACTCCTCTTTCTCTGCGGCATACCGGCAAATGGAGAGCAGAACGAGAGCAGCCAACTCACAGCCGAGAGAGGAGCCAGCCCTTGTGTCACTTGCGCTGACTGAGCGTGTTTGTGTGAGCGCGTGTGTGTGTGTGTGTGTGTATATGTGTGTGTGCGTGTGTGCTTGTATGCTCTGCCTGCCTTCTAGGTTCCACTCCCCAAGCCTCACACGCCCTGCCTCTGTCTATCTCACACGCCTCCTTCACGGGCAGGGGAAGAAACAGCAAGAGGATGAGAGAGGACAATAGGATGGGGGGGGAATGGGGTGGGGGCTGCTGGCCATGCCAGTCTCCCAGGGAACCAGGAGAGCTGTGGCAGTCTGTCTCACAAACAGGCTACATCCCCTCTCCTCCACATCAAGGTAGAAGCACACTTTCAAGTCAGATTTTGTACACACACACATATATATATATGAAAAGGTTGTGATTTTTTTCCTAAGGTAAGAAAAAGCACGGTACAGACTCAAGACACACAAACGGACGCTTTGTTCCTTGATGATATGTCATAAAATGGCCAAAGGCAAACACCTCGGAGAGGTCCTTCCCACTGTGGGAGTTTGCTTTAGGCAAGTGTCGTAACACTAGTTCTCCTTCTCTTTGTCAGCGCGCCGCAGCTGGTCAAACAAGCTGCAGACACCGCCACAAACAGCTCATCATTCTTAAAAAATGTCCCGGTGACACAGCCCAGTGACACGGGCTCACGGCTCCACTCCCGCCTGCCACGGTGGAGGTGGTGACCTCTGAACGAGATGCTAATCTCCGCATTCATCTTCCTTCGACGCAGTTCCGAAAGCCCGCTGGTATGCGTACGGAATGAGGGCAGATTTCACACACAGCTCCCTTCATGCTTTACCCGCACTGTACTAGCATTGATTAAAACGGACTGTCTGGGCTCGGAGACTCCTTTCGCTGGATGTCGGGGTCTGATAAACTGGCAGCAGTGACAACAATGCAGTATCACTGCCATAGATTATTGAATAAAGAGGGACTGCTGACTGCAGGCTAACAGACAAAAGCAGACTTCTGTTTCCATGCACAGTGTTAGGAAAAAAAGCAGTTTTGGTCAGTGACACTTCGTTTGGCCCTAAACCATGATTTGATCAAAACCTCCCCAATCCAGGATGTTATTCCCCCCCCAAGGACCAATGATCTGTTCATCCCACTGACTATAAAGCGCTCACAGTCACTAAGCAAACAAGCTCTTAATTAATCAGCGGGCGTATAAAACAATCACAATCACGCTGATGGACAATTACATCATCTCCTCACAATTACATCACCCCCTCTCCTCTGAGACACTTGTCCAAAAAAGCGTTTCACCTCAGTTCTTGGCTGACTTTGCTGGTAATGGACTACATTTTGTCTCACGACGGAAACTGAACAGAACAGATTTTTGGCTCAGCGAGGCTTTATCGATGAGGTCATAAATTTGTTGATTTCAATGTATTACAAGGTACTTGCACAGATATGTCTTCTTTTTGTTTGGTGTCCTTGCAAAATTGGAAAGATATTCATCCTCAAAATTACGTTTATTATCATTATATTTATGTCTTGAGTCTTATATGTAGCCTTCTATTTTGGGGCCTCCAGGATCTGTTTTCTTCTTTACTATTTTCAGTGCTTAAATAGTACGTGCATCAATGTGAACTCCCAACATACTGTAGCTGCTCTTATTCACGTTCTCTGTTTTTCACATCAGGCAGCAAAACAAATCTGAAAACGTCATTGCAAAGCAGCTCGATCAGACAAAGTGTTTCAGCCGCCTTCCATTTTTTACGGGCTTCTGCCCCGCTTTAATAAAATCCTGACTTTATGAGCACAGCGGCATTGGACAAAATCACATCCACTTAAGTTAAAGACGTCCGTGGAGCAAATTCTGCTATTTTTACACTCCCCGTGCTGAGTAAGAGAGAAAGTAAGTAAGGACAGGCGATGTCAGCTGCTTTGCTTCTGCCGTTTCTCTGTGTTCTCCTCACTGTCTCTGCTGCCTGCTCTAAAGCTGCCAATGGCAGGATAGCAAAGCTGCTCTTTCTCATTCACCAGCATACACACCACCCATGCGGCTGACAGGCAGATCCAGCCCTTGTGGAGCAATATGGGCAACTCTCTAATCAATTAAATAGCTTATGTTTGTCTTAGAAGTGGGGATTTGAAGCTAAATCTGGCATGAAACACATTGCACTGGTCCCAGCTGACACCCCGATGATCCAAAATGGTGACAGTTTACCTCTGAATGATGTCACAGTGACTAATGTTACTCTTCGATTGAAGGATTGTTGAAATAGCTTCTGTGAACTGTTTCTTATACTCAGTCTGACTCACAAAACTGTCTGTGAACTCTAATGCTCTCTACTATCAAACTTGGTAAAATGATTTACTTAATGTAGGTTACCTGACAGTGACATGAAATAAAACCATGACTGTAACTCATCAGTGAGGAATACGACATCCTTCTAAGCGAGATATTGTAAACGGAAACCTTTGCATATTGTGACTTTAACTAGATGCAGAAACGGGGGCCCGGATCAACATGTCACTCTTCACCAATTCGATAAAGTTATATTCAGCTAAACGATGAACTCACGTACAAACACACCGCAGCACCACTTCCTTTAAGTGCCACTCTGTTGATCTGGCACACCATTCTTTGTACTACTTTTGGTCCTGTCTGCTTTCTTGACAATTAAATTAAGTAAAGCAGCTGTGATGTGCCTGAGGCATTTGAATAGCTGCAGCCCGGACAGAGGCCTTTAATCACATCACCTTGGGAACATGGCCCAGTGCTACAAGCAGGTCTGGCTCCTCTTTTATCCTCCAGGCAGGAAGACTCCCGAGGGGGCAACAAACGGAGATCCCTGCCCAGTGCCCATGCCATCCCATTCACAGACATTACTATAACTCAACAAAAATATACAAGTCACAGTGCTGTTTATCTTAGGATAGATGTCACATCTATCCTTATAGAATTACGTTAATAATCGATGTCTTTTGACTGATGTTTTCATCTCATCGAAGGAAGGGAAGTGTATTTGTAGAGCACAATTTGCACACGAGGCAATTTAAAGTGTTTTACATCATAAAATCACAAAAGACAAATAAAGACGTTAAAGCATTAGAAATAATCATTGAGTGATTCAATTAGAAGGGAAGAGGGCAGATAGAACTGTTTTCAGTCTGGATCTGAACATTTTCGGAGTGGAAACACTCCAAATTCTAGATGCCTAAAACTGAGACTCAGCCTGGCCTTGTTTGGTCCTGACTCCGGGCACCCACAGGAGACCTCTACCTTTGTTTTACCGAGTCCAAATATGTTCATACAGCTCTAACATATAATAGAAAAAAAACGTTGCCACCAGACCATGAAAAGACTTGTGCAAAAACAGAACTAATGCTCAGGTCTGAGTCCAGTATTATCCTCAGATTTCCAAATTTTAAGAGAAAGGACCTGAAGGTGACTTATAACCACAGGCTTAGCTTGATCTTTGCTCTGAACTAATTCTTATGTGTCTCGTGAAGTATTGCACTGATACTAATATGTCAGATTTAAACCAAATTGATTTAAACTAAATTGTAAGTTAATGAAGTTAGAATAAGGAATTACATCTTCCTTGCACAATGGTAGGTTGGTTGGCACTCACCTCATAACAGGCATAACAGGGGGGGATTTTGATTAAAATCCCAACTGGGGCTCTACTGTGTGGAGTTTGCTTTCTCCAGGTTCTGCAGCTCCATCACTCCGTCCAAAGACATGCATGTTAGGTAGATATGTATTCAAAATCAACCCTAAGACCTTAGACTGGGTCCCGCTTCCCCTGACCGGATTAAGAGGGTATCAAAAAACAATTACATTAATTACATTATCTCTTAATCTACACTTTGACTGTGTTTATTAATTCTTTGTCGAATCAATGACCAAGTTTCAATCTGATCGAACGTTATAAAAAGCGTTTCCTTTTTTTACAACACGCTTGGTTGTCATTATAACTGTTTAAATACGTATCGTGAAAAAATATAAAAATGAATAAATATGGCAAAATTACATTTTGTAAAAACATTTTGTAATTTGTCCTTAGTATATACTTTTTTCTAATGAGTCGAGAGTCCAAGCTGGGTTGTTTTGATTTGGACTTTATGTGAGAGAAAAAGTCACAGCTAAACAAATGAACACTCATCTGAAGTTGGAGTTAATCAGTCCACAGTATCTGCACTGGCATGGTATGAACAAACTACCTATGGTCACTGTATACATTGTAAATATTTTCCTGATACTTGACTCAACAAGGAGTACATATACACTTGAATATTTGGAGAGGGTGGGTTAGTGGAGGAAGGGATAGCGCACAAATATTTGAAGGAAGTGAGCATTCAAAGGCCAGTTGTGCTTTGAAGCGTGAGGAAATAAGGCAACGTTTAGCTCTGTGAGTGTTCCATTTTCTATACGCTTCTCCCAACTTCAGTGGCTTAATAAATGTAAGCAGGCATGACTGGTGCAGAGGCATAGTATCTAAAGTCATTTGTTATTTCTGGATGGTTTAAATTAGCTGCTAAGTCTTTTTGGGGACAGGACGGCCTTTCACTACACTTCACTTTTCACTTTGCTTTTCTTTTTCTTTTTTTTTGGTCATCTGAAGGGTTTGAAAGGAACATTCAATTTGATTTGGGAGTCTTCGCACTGTCTCGTCCATTCAGTTTTTGATAAATTTGCATAGGTTTCACATCCTCTGTTGGGATTTTGTTTGAGCAGACTTTTATGGCTGAAAATAACACGTTACAGTAAGGACTGCTGACTGTCTGACTGGGAGGAACTGAACGAGCCCACTGAGCTCCCCTCCTCCTGCTGCGTTCACGTGCCGCTCAGGCCCCCCGGGAGCAGACGCAAACAGCCCAACACACACACTGTGGCCTTTCAACTTCTCCACCGTTGAGGGCCTGGATATTTCACGGTGGATAGAGCTGGAGCAACAAGGGGATGTTGCAACGTGCTTAAAATGAAAGACCTCCGTTCCGATGCACCTCGATTAATGCGCCTTGATGCTGCAT